TCGGAAGAAGCGCATGGAATTGCAGCTCGAGGACCCCGCGTCAGCGATCAGCGATCGCGCGCTGGCGAGCAAGATGCTCCGTGGCGCTGGGCTGTCGCAAAAGGAGCGAGCGCAGGTGCTCTTCAATTGCGGCGGCATCTACGACTCGAAGCGGATGGAGGTCGTGCTGAAGGCAGCCTACTCGAAGGTGCACGACACGGAGAAGCGCTCGGTGCTCCCTCGCCGCTCGCCGTTTGTGGCGGCGCAGCGTGAGCACGGGCACTCCTCCGGGAGCTCGGGCGGTCGCTATCCGCACCCTCCCATGGCTCGTAGGCCATACGTGCTTCGAGGACGTCCTGGCCAGCATGTGCACGAGGTGGAGAACGGTGAAAACTACGATGAACACGACGGCGACCTGGAGGAGGCGCAGCACGACGAAGATGAAGCAGATGAACAGGACGATGGAGACTCCGTGCACGCTGGAGGAGGCGCAGCACGACGAAGATGAAGCAGATGAACAGGACGATGGAGACTCCGGAGCGGCGAGGGGATCATCTTCGAGGACGGCGCCGAGGTCGAAGAGGAGCTGGCGTCGGACAACGACGGGCCTGATGACGAGGAGTACGAGGCGACGGAGGATCTCCAAGAGGCGTTCTTGGCCGGTTGGAGGGCCAAGCAGAAGACGGCAGTGCAGCGTCAGAAGCGCGGGTTCGTTGCCCCTCGGCAGCGGGGCCCCGGGAAGATCAACGTCAGCGGCTCCTTCCAGGCTGGTCGCAAGCCGACGGACCAGCGCAAGGCTAACAGCCGGTGTGCTGACTGCGATCAGCCCGGCCACTGGCGCGGCGACCCGGAGCGCCCCAAGGTGAAGAGTGGCGAGCGCGAGCCGTACAACAAGACCGGGCCTAAGAGTGGCCAGCCAGCGTCGCCCAACCAGCGGAGCTCTGCGAAGCCGCCGGCTCCAAGGCAGGTGCATGGACCGGTCATCCACTGGGTTGGCATGGCAGGCAGTGCCGAGGAGCGTCGTGGCCGCGCCCCATGGCGCCGCGCTCCCCAGTCGGTGCCTGCCCAGAGGCATCCGGTGGAGGGCCGAGCCGATGCTCCAGGGCGGATCGTTATGAATCCTCGACCCAAGAGCATGCCTGCGCCAGGTCTACGCCGGGACGCCGACGATGGCCCCGGGCCCGCACAGGGCAGTGATGAACGTGCGCGCGCCCTTGCCAGGCGCGGGGAGGATCAGGAGGACGAGGATGCATGCGTGCGTTGCCATCGCATTCTGGCCAACACCCACCCAAAGGGGCACAGCGTGGAGTTGGAGTTTCCCGACCTTGCCACGGTAAATCACATCGTGGAGCGTGTGACGAACAAGAAGCCCATCTTCTTCAAGCAAGGCCGCTTCGAGGCTCTCGACTTCGTCCAGGGTCGGCCCATGCGGCTGCAGCTGACCACGTCGAAGCCTTGCACGGCGGCTGAGGTGGATCTCGACGAGATCACGGCAACTATGTTCAAGATCGTGATGGGCGGAAATCGCGATGCCAAGGACCGCTACTATCGGCGCGGTGAAGGCGGGAATCGTGACGCCAAGCATCGTGAAGATCATCATCGAGATCGTCGTGACGACCGCCGCCGCGATCGGGGAGCTGTTCTCCGTGAGCATCGCGCCCCTCCTCCGCCCGAGGCGGGGGCCTCATCGCGTTCGAGGTCGCGGAGTACACAGGAGGGCGCGGTGAGAAGAAAGAGAAGAAGAAGAAGAAGGCGAGGAGCAGTAAAGAAGAGAAGAAAGAGAGGAAGAAGGCAAGAAGCAGCAGGGAAGTGAAGAAGGAGGCCGAGGTGAAGAAGGAGGATGAGGCCAGCGAGGAGGATGAGGCCAGCGAGGACGATAACGATCAGCGGCGTGAGGATAAGGAGCTGCCGTTCACGCCGGAGGAGATGGATGAGATCTTCTGCAGCTGGTATCCGCGTCAGGACATCTTTAGGGATTACCTGACGCCGCCGGCAACCATCCACTTCATCACGAAGAACGACCGCATCGTGCGCCTCAACCTCTACACGCGCCGCTGCGAGAAGCCGGACTTTTCTCCAGCCAGTGGCCCTGCGAGGGCCTATCCTGTATTCGTGGTGGATACCGCAGCGGCGGCGTCGGCGAAGGGGGCATCGAAGACTAAAGGATCGAATGTTCCGGGGGAACCTCCCGGGAACACCCCAGACGGAGCTGTGCCAGGACTAACGTCTGCCGCTCCGACTGGGGAGGCCGCCGCCGCTCCTAAGCACGAGGACTGGGTCATGGCAGGAGCCTCCGAGGACGTGAGGAAGAGCGAGGAGAAGAAACGACTGGAGGTCTTGCAGCGTGACAAAGCTGAGTTGCTGGACCGCCTCGCGCTGATAGAGAAGCAGGAGTCGGAGATGCATGCCCGATTGAACCCAGGCGAGGTCTACGACGGCCTGCAGAAGCGACGTGAGCAGGCACCTCTGCCAGAGCGTGCACTGCCTACATCTCCTGAGCAGCAGGGGGTCGGAAGCGTGTGGAAGAACATGGAGGGAGTTCGACGACGTGCTCATCTTCCAGCGCCTCCAGGAGCCGCGAGCTCAGGTGCGCCTGCCGCTGCGACGGCATCTCCAGCCGCATCTGGAGCCCCGCGCGTAGTCACTACCTCTGGACGGAGCTACGTCATGAGTGCCGGTGCCACGCAGAGCGACCTGGAGAAGCAGCAGATGCACCGAGCCAGGTACGACTCGCAGTTCGACGGCGAGAGGCTGGTCCCAGGTCCGAAGGCGAAGTTCGACCCAGAGCTCATGCAGCAGCAGGCTGCGTGTTCTCATCCGGCGGACGAGCTGAAGTGGCAGTCGAACGGCACCGTGATCTTCGCGAAGTGCAAGAAGTGTTCGTTGAAGTCGGTGATCCATTACACGCTGGAGAAGCCCAAGGCGGACGAGGAGGACTCACTGCAGCGCGCGGACCCTGGAGCAGCAAAGGGCGCGGACCCTGGAGCAGCAAAGGGCGCGGACCCCTGGGCAGCAAAGGGCGCGGACCCTTGGGCAGCAAAAGGGGGATCTGCGGCCCGCATGGTCACTACCCGAGAGGAGTGCCCCCGCAAGGTGGTAGACGAGCAGTCCGTCATGCTTGTTGTCTTGCCCGCGGGGCTGGCTATGATTGACACGGGCTGCAAGCGGGCTGTCGGTGGACGTCCGTGGCACGTCGAGCTGCAGAAGACTTTGGATGCCATGGGCGTGCCGTACCACAGCATCAACCAGCGCGAGTACTTCAAGTTCGGCCCAGGCGTGCCGCTCTTGTCAGAGCGTGCGTGGTGCTACACAGTTGGCATCAATGGTACGCAGGGCGAGGTTGTGATCTCCGAGGTCGATGCCGAGGTGCCAGGTCTCATCGGTCCTGATGAGATGGCAGAGTGGGACGCAGCAATCAGCTTCAGGAGCGGTACTTTCACGGCGAACGGTGTGACCAAGCCGTTGGTCCCGGCTGCGTCCGGGCATCCGTGCGTGTCATTGCTGGATTTCCCGGCACCGGTCGCGAGTGCCTTCCCCGTCGGACAGTCAGAGGAGCAGGACGAGCTCGCCGACGAGATGTTCAGCGGAACTGCGAGCCACGAGGAGAAGGATGAGCGCAGCGTCGCTGAGACCGCCGAGGAGGAGGACACGCACGATTCTGATAGCAACGATGGCCAGGACGCCTCAGGACGCAGGCGATTCAGAGCTGAGTGCATCCCACTATCACACCAGCGACCCAGAGTCCGCGGAGACGGCATCGAGTGACGAAGAGGTTTTCATGGAGAATGCGGACAACGAGGTTTTCATGACGAAAGGTGCTCGCAGGCATGTCCGGAGCAACCTGAAGGAGCTGGAGGTTCTGATGACCGAGGCAATGGCGAACAGGAAGCTTCGGGCTGATCGGCAGGGGCAGGACGCCCTCAGGCACTACCAGGAGGAACGTGTACTACCTTTTCAGAGGGAGACCCGGCGGCGACCGGGGCCCTGGAGGATCGTGGAGATCTTCGCATGGGCTTGCCAGCTCACGATCCTGGCGGCGAACGTGGGATGGGGCGCCCACCAGCCCATCACAGCGCCAGAGTTTGACCTCCTGACGGTCCAGGGCAGGAACGAGGCACGGGCGTACCTGGTTGCAGTTGACCCAGACTTCGTGGCTTTGTCCCCGCCTCCTACGGCATGGAGTCGACTGCAGAGTGTCGACCAGCGAAAGCCTATGCGAGTGCGCCGGCAACGCCGAGAGCGGACCGAGTACCGCATGTTGCTGTCGTTCACGGACGAGGTGATGCAGTGGCAAGCTGCAAGGGGACGCGCAGCCATGGTAATGGACCACGCGCAATCGACAATCTGGAGCCAGCCACCCGTGAATGCAACGAAGTCGAACCCAGCATTCGAGGACGCGA